AGCTTAACCTTGCTGCCCTTCACGGTGAAATGTGCGCTCTTCTCTTTGCCAAAAGCCAGTACGACGAGGTTTGTCAGTTTTCTTTTTTCATGTTATTTTTATCTCGTTTGTTTCTCCTGCGTTGTTTGATCAAGCTTCGATGTCGCAGTACATCCAAAATTCAATTCTCACCCAAAATTTGCTGAGACCCGTACTCAACATTTTGCCGAGATCACCCTGGTGAACTACTTTCGAGAACTTGTTGTCCATGAAAATGTGGGCTTGACAGTGTTTTGAATCTGTGTATCCAAGACTCAGTATCACAACACAAACTATGGCTCCACATTTTTGGCGTTGTGATTGTCATGTATTGCCAAGTTTTATAATGCCCCTAAAAAAGTGCTGAATAGTTGAATCGGTTGGGTCCAGTTTTTCATAGAATTGTGATTGAATTCTACATTAGCCAGTTCTCGGTTGTCAGCTGAACATCGACTGGAGTACCCTCTTCTTTTGTGTCATAGGCTTACAACCACTGCGTTCAAGCCCTCAAAGGCATCAACAACAACATACCGGTCCGCTGCATCGTTCATATTCTACGGCAGGCGGCCAAGGCTTGTGTGGTCAAGAGAGAATTCAAGAAGGCGGAGCTTCTCATAAAGCATGCCATCTTTCTTGTCAGGTAAAGGAACTGAAAATCGGGAGAGTGGGAACTTAAAAGCTTGCTCAAGCTGAGAGTATACATGGGACATGTATGTTGTACTTCAAAACAACTCATATTGATGGTGTTGTCACTTTGGGATTGGGTGACCATTTGATGCAACAGTGCCCCAGTCATAGAATTTTGTTGAAGGACTAGAGGTGGAAGTGCCATTAGGCGTGCAATAAAATAGCCTATTTAGAATTGGGTGATGATGTAAGAAATAAAGAGTGCCATCAAATGTACGCAGAGAGCCAAAATGACTTGTGAGCAATCAAGGCATGTTCTGAACTGTTTCCTCGTGAAAGTCGGCATTGAGATCAAACCTTCAGATGCCTACGTTCATGTTTGACATGTTACCTGAAGAGACTTTGGATTGAAATGAGAAAGTTATTCAGTGTACCAAGTTGACTGCATTCTAAACACTTCATGCTGTGCAGCATTTGGAGACTGTTACAGTACAAAACAGGGACATGCGGTGCACATGAACAGTAGTGCAGAAAATAGTACAGCAAGATAATGAAAAAATCTGCTTTCCTTCTAATAGTTCACTGAAATACTCCGTGTCTTTTGTGCACTGTCAGAGAGCATTTTGGCACAAGACATCCCAAATATTCAGACATCCTTCTAGACTTTGGCTTCTATCTGCTCAACATCGATTCCATCAGCCAGTCTACGGTTGTTTATCAGGTACTTCTACAGTTTGTTTCTTCTCACTTCATGCTTCTTTCAACAGTTTGAATAACATCTATTTGAACTCTACTCTTCATAAATGATTTTGGTGGGATCAAAATGTCGGACTGCCAGACATTTTCGATTTGCTTATTTCAAGTCAGTGCAGTCAGCATGCAGTTTGTAACTGGTTTTGCATTCTACCTATCTGAATTCCAATTCATTTGAAAGTGAATTCCAATGCTAATAGGTAATATAAATACGTCACTTTTGGATGATGTTTAGTGACGCTTCATAATAATCTTCCTAAATAAATTGTAATCTTCAATTTCTACCCCGACAGCAAGCCCTTGATATCAGGCTGTCCGCATTCGGGGGGCGTAACCTCCATGTAGCCATTGCACATGAGGATTTGGCATACGCATCCTACGTCCACCAGTACAGCTCAGGCAAATTTGATGATGCTCGGTGAGTAGAGCTCTTGGGGTCTTTCAACACAACATCTTCAACCTCCACTAGTGAAGAATTTGATTGTAAAGAATGTGGCACTTGCTTGGCACCATTAACATTTGAGACAGTGAAATCATAGTGCTTTGCATTCTAATGCAAAAAGACACACATTTCTGTATTGTTTTTAACCCTAATCCTCTTATGACCCTTCCAAACATGCCAAATCCACCGAGTCTTGGAGTTGTTTGAAGATTATTCAAGATGGAAGAATGTCAAATCTATTTTTTTTTTTTTACAAAGGGTTAAGTGACCCTTGAGAGTTCAAAGAGTGTGCCATTGGTTTCCTGTAAAGTAGTAGATTTTTTGGTAGAGCATTCAGAAAGGTTGCTTTTGAAAATTTTAGGGTGTTGCAGTTAATGTTTGCACTCTGCCCTCTAAAATAACCATTTGTGTTTATGTTGAAGGTTTTGTATTGATCATATTTGTTTGTGTATCATAACACAGAGAGCATGCAGAGAAGGCCATCTCCATTATCACCCAGATCCTGCCAGAGAACCACCTGTTATTAGCATCGTCGAGAAGGGTCAAAGGTCAGTCTGTAAGGTCCTAACTAATTGACCTTTGCAAACATGAATACCTGAAGCCAATATACTCACAATTGGGTAAACAAGAAAACAGCATAGCATTGTTGTCTTGCTGCGGTAATGACCAGTAAAGGACATCGTATACAAAAAATGTGTTGGCACTAAAAGCTTTTATTTGTCATTCGTTTTCACTTAAAATATTCATGTTTGATATACAGGGCAATTTTTTTGTTTTGCCTTGTCTCTAAAACTGACAGAACCCTTTTTTGTCACAGCTCTTATCTTGGAGGAGATTGCCATCGATTCTCACGACAAGGACACAGAGGGCAAGCTCCTGCAGGAAGCCCATGACTTGCACCTGTCCTCCCTCAACCTGGCCAAGACGGCCTTCGGAGAGTTCAACGTCCAGACGGCTAAGCACTATGGTAACCTGGGCAGGCTCTACCAGTCCATGCACAGATACAAGGTAGTGCAGGGTTTAGTTAGTTTGCGTCCATGTATTCACAAAGATATTTTTGTAAGCCCTTACTTTCCTGAAGCCATAGAAATCTGTACCGGGATGTTGAAGTAAACTTGGTGGATTGGATGTCGCAGTAGTACTGTACATCATGGGGCTTAAGTTTGTATTTCATGTGTATTAAGGCTTGATTTTTGGAGGGTTTCTTTGTGAGGTGCTGGGGTGGTTAGAGATTAGATTAAAAATCACAGAGCTGCAAGCTTTCTAGATGTTGATCATTACCTGACTCTTGTGACGTTACAGTACGGTGATGTGACATGCACAGTAATCACAACACAAAACTCGGCCATTCTTCCTGACTTCATTTATAAGTGGGTGAAATATTTTCTCCCTGTGTGCCCAACAGGAGGCGGAGGAGATGCACAAGAAGGCTATCACCATCAAAGAGCGACTACTGGGTGAGGAGGACTATGAGGTTGCGCTGTCTGTCGGTCACCTGGCGTCGCTGTACAACTATGATATGAAACAATACAAGGAAGCTGAGGAACTGTACCTGAGGTCCATTGACATAGGTATGCTTGGGGGTATGCTCACAGAAAAAGAATTCAAAAAACAAAACGACACCAAGACCACTTTGGGGCTGCATGTTGCAGAATAATTGATCTCATGACCCAGTACTGAACAGCGGAAATAAGTGTGAAATGCTTTGATTTGTCTGTGATAACGCATGATTGAAGCATTTATTGTTATTTATATTAATAGCGTAAGTCCTCCTTTTGTGTATAACAGTTCAATTTTGTCCATTCAAAGCTAAAGCACATGGAACGTGTAGGGCGCATGACAATAAATAAAATGTGCTTTGTGTGCTTAGAGTGCCTCAAAAGGTGCAGTGAAGAAAATTGAAGGGCAAGTGCGCACAGATATGACATAACTTAAAGACTGCTAGGTTTGGAAAGACGAGCCTTAAATTTCCACCAATACAGGGGGCGATTCACAATAGTGCGTCTCCAAGAGTTTGCAACGCGTTGACCAATTAAAGTGCGTGAAATCTGTCGAATCCTTTCCAAACGCGCATTGGGTTGACAGATTTTATGCACTGTGATTGGTCAACTCTTGGAGGGGCACTACTGTGAATTGCCCATATTGACTGTTCCCTCCCCTCAACACCCACAGGGAAGAAGCTGTTTGGCCCCGGCTACAGCGGTCTGGAGTACGACTACCGGGGCCTGATCCGCCTCTACATCAACACGAGCGAGTTTGAGAAGATGAACGACTACAACGAGGTGCTGGGCCGTTGGAAGCTGCTGCGGGAGAGCTCGCCCAGCCCTGTCAACATCGTGGACTACCTGGCCAACTACAAGAGCGACCTGACCACGGAGCAGGTCATCCAGAAGTTCTTCAAGCAGGACTGAAAAGTCAGTCTTCTTTTGTCACGATGTCCTCTGGTGAGACTTGAACCAACCTTGGGAACTGTCTTGAGTGAGCAACCATAGCATAACTCTTGTCGCACCCCACAGCAATTCAGCCAATCTTTCAGAGCATAGACCGAAGTCTGAAGTCCAAGCGTCATGTTCTAAACACATTCCCTTTGTAAAGATGAACCCATTTGCAGTAGTATCTCACCTTAAGTACCTGACTGCAGAACTGTCTATTCAGGAATTGCTCAAGCAGGACTGAAGCCGTCGACACTGCAAGAAATCAATGTGTGTCGTCGGATTGATCTGAAGTGTATAATCTACATTCTTTCAGTTGTTCTTGCCACCCGTTCAGTAATTAAGGGCAAGGTGCACTGGAGTTCTTTCAACAGGACTGGAGCAACAAGGTCCTGAAAATACCCAGTTGTGTTTTTAGAACCAGTCATAAGAACTGTCTGGAGTGTGCAATCATGGAGCAGGTTTGGCAGATAATCTCAGTACACCTTCGGAAAGTAACAGTTGGTCATTCATTTTCTTCAAACAAGAGCAAACCTGTCAACTTCTGAATAGTATCCGTTTGTGTGAACTGGGAACCAATTGTACTGGTGGGGTAGAAACCATTTAGAGTGTCTGGTTACAGAATCATTCATACAGTAATTTGGTTCATACCTTCAAAGATTTGAACACTCTCAAAGACCAAATATCCACAAAGGAGAAGCAGAGTCACACGCGAAGTTCTATGAAGACTTTGTGTGAGAAAGTGAACCCATCATGTCAGTATTCAGGAGTTCTTTTGCAGTATTGAAGCTGTGAGCTTCTGTAATATATCTACTCGTTGGATTTGAATGAAGATTCATATCTGAAGTGTCGGACTTACAACACAATTCTCGCAGACATTTGCATCACACCGTCAGAGTTCAAGATTCTTTTAAGAACAACCTTCGAGGTCTAACAATGTTCTCAGTGCGGATTGGAACCCGTATTGTTTAGTGTCAAACTACAAGAACAGTAAACGATTCATTTGGAATTTCTTCAAGTAGGGTCCAAGAGAGTCCCCTTCTGCTTAAATGTTTTCTCCTGGGATTGGAACCAGCCAGGCTCATGTGTAATTCAATTCAAGAGATCTGGCAGTAAGTAATCAAGTGCAGGACTTCCATCTAAAAATATTTGTTTTGGGGGATTTGGATGAGTCTTGTCGGCAGAGTTGCCAGCTGATAAGGTCATCAAAGACAGCTTCAAGCTCAAAGTAGAGCCTGCTTCCAAGACGCCCCAGTGAAGAAAATAAGCTGAGTTTTGTAGGAGTTACATCTGATGTGGGATTGAATCTGTGATTCATTAAAACCCTTCACGTGAAAGAATTAAAGGGTTTTGTAGGAAGCTGTAAACTCAGGCACTAACTGTAGTTTGACCACTAGTGGCACAAATTTACACGCAGTGTACCAACCCATAACAACCCTAGTCAAATCACTTTCGGAAACCCCACAACTGTCACATTTTGCCTTGGTTGGATCTTCTACTTCATTGACAGTTTCCGTCATATACAGTTACCTTGACATAAGTGGTTCCTTCTGTACCTAATTCCCCAAAGGCTGCTGATAACCACTGATGCAACCATGCATCAAGGCCTGGTTCAAAATATTTGATGACTACCGTAGATAGTTCAATCATCCAATCATACTGGTCATGATTAGGCTGAACTATAGTTAACTGTTAATCACAATCTCCCAAACTTGCCTCTTGTGGGGGTTTCAGCATTACTGAGAGACACCAAGACTTGAATTGAACAGAACCAGGGAGATTGAAAAAGAAAAAAAACGACAGGCAGTAAGAACCAACAGGAATGTAAAAATCCACAAAGCAACTTAAATGTTTATGTAGAATTTGTGCATAACCTCAGAAATGCTTATACAATTATGCACCAGCAAAAGTTCCAGGAAGTTACTCATAAAATGTTTATTCCAAGTGACTGATTTGATGAAAGTGTTTGTGGACTAGCATTTTCCCTAACATAACAGGCTGTAAAAGAAATAGTAAAAAAAAAAAAAAGAATTTAAAATGTACAATAGCAAAGTCCTTACTTGAAATTTATGGAATTTTGTTCTGTAGAAATAGTGTTCAGTTTTCCCCCTCCCCGTCTGTCACACACAGTCACAATCTTAAGCAAACCGAGCCCCCCCCCATTTTTTGACTGATGCATTTCAAACCCACAGCAACATCCCAAATATATGTTGGTAAAATCCTGGATAAAACTCATTGCACAGTTGGTGATTCTCATTCCCATGTCTCACACCCCTTCCCTATTTCATTGTCTGTGATTTATAGTAATAGGAATCTGTATATACAGCCAAACAAAACACAGCTACAGAGTATGTAGACGCTGTTTGGTGCAATATTTATGTCGATCTTTATCAACCAACCTTTGTACATTACAAAAAAGCTGTTACGATAGTGTACAAGCATTTAATCCTAATAAATGCAATATCACAAGTACAAAAGAAATGTGTATTGTGTATTTGTACTATTTGGGGGTGTGGCCTCTTTTTCATACAGTTGAATGCGAGGCTGGGAAACCCCAGCATCAGCTACCAGTCCATAATATACCATCAGTCTTCACTGTAAGGAAAAGAGATCATGTGACTTCACATGGCCACATACTTCCCTGAGCTCACTCCAGAATATGAAATTTTACTGTTCTTTAAATGCACTTGCCCCTGATTTTAATACTTAAAAAAGGTCAAAATGACCTTGTGAATATCAATTTTTCACCAAAGGTTTTGTACATAAGGAAGGTTCCCACAGGAGTTTGCAAGACTCTTGAAGTGGATAGTCTCTGCAACAAAGGATGAATTTTGTGTTACATGTATGGAAATGTACAAGGTCATTGTAAGATTTTTGGATTGAAGATCCTTGAGGCCGTGAAGACTTTATTATGTGCCAAATTACATGTACTACAACTTACATACTGAAAACTGAAGGCTGAACGATCAACTGTGATTTCAGGAAGGAAACATGTTGACACTAACAAGCACCCTCTTCACTCTGTGAATTCTGTTGTGTATACATGCAAGTTTACGCATAATTATGCGCAAAGCTTCATGCACTGACTTCAACCGGACTTGACAACATATCTGTAGGGTTGTGAGCAGATTTTCTCAGTGCAGGTTCGCTTTGACAACATACAAAGGCATGTCATCGTGTTGACTTTATAGAAACTACAGCAGCATGTTATTGATAGAGATTATGCATTGTTGGCATCTCCATGGTGTCTCAGAGGCTGTTTTTGATACTTTAATTTAGTTACATGTACAACAAATGTACCAAAGGTTTACTCGAGCCTATCCCACTGACACAAAGCTCTTGCCCTCTGAGGACCTATAACCCATATTCATGTAACACGCAACCAGAATGGGTGCTGTGATATGCAGCCTTCGCAACTGTGCGTAGCATTTGTAAGTGCGAGCTTAGGTCAAGGAACTCGGCACACCTCCATTAAAGATGGGCAACGTTGTAAACAATGTACAACTTTGCGTGTGCATTTTTAAAAGGAATGCCTCCACCAGAAATTATTGGCATGCCGGAAAAGTCAGACTCTGATATTGGCCCTGCAAGGGGGGGAGGGTGGTTGTAAAAGAAAAGTAATCGCTGGTTGGTTCTGTACATTCATGGCGCATACACATGTGGGCCACTCCATGAAGCGTCAGTATGGGTAAACACAAGTGCGACATTGCAACATTTGTGGATGCAATATGAGCTCCCCTTGAACAGGCCAGGTTACTTTCAGGATAATTTGATTTGAAGTCTTTGGGATGTGTCCAGACTTCTGCTAATCGACCAAAAAAGTCTCTTTTTTGAAATTCTGTTTGCAGGTACATGTGCAGTTTAAGAATGTTGCATAGTGTTCTCTGTTCTTCATTTGGTTGGAAACTGGTGCCCCAAAAAGTACTAGTCAAAACTTATAAAATGATGTATTATGTTACTTTTACAACCAGTTTTCCTCAAAGATACCATGCAGAGTAACTTCTAAGTGTCCCAAACAGTATGAAACCACCTAGGACAGCTGAATGCATTGGAGCCAACACTGTACATTCAGCTATAAACTGCCATGAACTTTGTGGTAGTTATAATTTTATCACCTTTTAAAACAATTACTGCTAGTGTTGGATGATGAACCAGTAAAAGCCCTTCAGTTTGACAATGTTAGTCATTCCTCTTCTAAAATCCAGAGAATCGGAAAATTTTAGGGGAACCAAAATAGTCCCTCCCTCGCCAGTTCCATCTTGTAGGGATTTTATTACAATTTGTCTATATGTTACTTGATTACTTATTTCCTGCAGTCCATCTTTTCAATAAAATAATACTGGTTTTACATGATTATCACAATAGTTCTCTTTGAAGTTGAGATAAATATATTACAGCAGGAATATTTTCTAAAATATATACGTACATATATCTCCCTTTTGAAAATCAGGCTTTTATTTACAAAGTCTCTTCACTAAGGCAACCACCTGTTCGCTTCTTTAACTTACAGAAATTTGTTGCTTACCAAATGCTCATTAGATTTTTCTGTTGTGCTACATTAATAAAAGACTAAATATTCAAAGTTATATTATGACCCAGAAAAAATATTAACATTCCCAATGCATGCAATACAATAAAAAATGTCACAGATATTTACAGCTATTTTGTGGACTTGTAAGATTACAATACCTTGTTATTTCTTGCATTATTCTGAAATTTTTCAAAAAGACTAAACATGGATCTTTTCTTTTTGACAGATTTTGTGATTATCACTGGAGACACATGAAACTTTCTAAATGTGTATAAGTCAATCTTGGCATCAGAAATGCAGTGATTTTAAAAAAAGGTTTTGGTTTTTAGAAATGAAGTATTTATGTAGTCATATCGACGAATTACCTTGGTGCATGAGCAAAAGTTGAAAGAAAAAGGAATATTGTGGCCAACAAAATCACCGTTCAAAGGTACCAATGGATGAAATGAATTGGTTTAAGGCAGATATCCTGTCACTCGGAAGACAAACTTCGGTAAAAACAAGCACCTTGGTTACAACTTCCATTTGTTTCCTTTCATAAGTGAGAAACAATGTTTACAGTGAAAATTCCAGGAACACAAAAGAGGGGGCCCATTAAGATATGTACTCTCTATCCCCTTCAGGAGAGAATATCCTGTCACATCTCAGAGAAACTAGGAGATGGTAGTTCAACAAAATTGGCAACAGTGCAACCGGTATTCATGTGAATGGGCTATCAATGCATTAAATCAATTGTGCAATCTTTATGCTAGACAAGCTTACAAGACCTTGTGCAGTGGGTTATCTCAAGCAAGATTAGTGATCGTTAAAAAAGCTCCCTGTTTCTTGTTCACGGAGGAGCCTACACTTCTTGTTTGCATATAAAGGTGTTCAGAATTCAGCTGTCTGGGACTTGTTCAACAGAGCACAATACAATTACTCTGCATAGATCTCTGTAGTTTTCTGTGTTGTAACAGCCATGTCGTTCGGATACTGACATGCCAACTCATCATTCGGAAGATAACATTTCCCGGTGAAATTTTGAAAGTATTTGCCTACCTCTGGATGCGATATGGTGACAGGGACATCGATGAAATCTAGATTTTCTGCAAATGGGGACAAATTACGAAGAATGCCCTTGTCAGTCTTCGACTGCATGCACTGCATAGCACCTCTAGCTATATCAATGCTTTGAGGAAACTTTTGCCTGATGTCAATTGAGCCTACATGGAGGAACAGCAATTACAGCAAAATGTCTTGCTTGTGGACACAAGCATTATGATCCACTGAAACTCAATTCAATATCTCAATCTCTCTCTATTCTAAATGCTCCAAACACAACACACGGCTCCAAAATTTAAATAAATTAAAGTTGACACCAAGCCAATACAACACGGCAAGAATTGCTCACAAGATAAAAAAAAATACAGTTAACTTCTATCTCAACAGCATGTTTAACACAAGCTGATACACACTTGACCTGTAACCCTGTAATTAGCATAGCTATGCCACATTTGGCGTCAAGGGTCAAAAATGTGGTTGGGTGAGTGTGGGGACACTCTCTGGCTGAACTGAGGTGATACAACACACACATGCTATCTTTAGCATTAGATGTGAATTCGGCTCTCAACACTTGGTGACTTACTGCTTGAATTTGAGAGATATTGGCTCTTCCTAATGATGATATACATGTACTTCACCTAAATTTTTGTAGGAAAATACACATTGCCTGCAGCTAGATAGAAAGACTTCAGTTCAGCTTTGCAGAGTTGTGCATTTGGAGCAGTTTACGATAAACTGTCCTGAGTTTTAGTAGTATTGTGGGAAGTTTAGTGAATACATTGTTCATCTTTGCAGTGCATGTACCTGTGTGTCGGATTATTGCACTTTGCCTACTGCATCGGGGGTACATGTTGTAACTACAGTTTTCATATGTTAAAATGTAAACAGAGTTTATTCTTAATAGGCAGTGTTATGTATGTTCAGAGGTGGATGGGGGGTGAAGGGGTTAACCCCCCCGACTAAATGGAACTACCAGTGAAATAATAACAAATGAGTAGGCCTACAAAATAAAAAAAAATCCTGGACAAGTATTGCACTATCCACCTATAGTTAAACAATTATACTGATTTCCGGCGGATCCCCTTAGCAGGGCATCCCTTCAATACGCCTATCAATCCCCCCCCTCCCATTTTCTGAAAGCTAGATCCGTTCCTGATATTCAAGCAGGTCTTGGGGTAATTTCTTTCAGATGACATTAACAAGGAGTTAACATCCATCAGTGTAATCAGCAAACATACGGTCTCTACCATGGGTTTATTCTGTTTAGTGCATAAATGAGCACAGAGTGAGTGAAGAAGCAGCTCAGGAGACAAGCAGGAAATGTGACCACTGCTGACAGGATCTGCTGGGATATATCTACATGTACGTGTACATACCCTGAGCAGCATATCGGTTGGAGCAGTCCTCCACCAGTACGTTATAGAAAGGTTGCTTCTCTTGCTTGGGCAGGTGATGCACGCCCATGTGACGTTGCCAGTCCCTGGATAGCTTGCAGACTGGGTCCCAGCCATAGATCACGCAGGAATAGTTATACCTATGGGGGTCATGAAGTGAAACGCACTTCACACAGACTAGAATTGAGGCCTTTGCTCAGGGGAAGGGCTATTTTGGTTGTTTGGGTAGTGATTGGGTTCCGTTATTCTTTTTAAAACACTGGGCAACGTTTAGAACAAAGACCTTTGTGTTTGTAAAGTGCACACACATCACCTTCTGTGCTTCATCACCATGCCAACTGCATAAATGACTTCTTTATTGTCTTCCCGTTGCTTTGCTGATGGCATTGTTGGCTCCTGACAAAAACGGAAAATTTAAGATTGTAGTTTGAGTTTACTAAGCTGGGAAGTAAGGCAATGGGTCATGAACTTGCTTCAGAGGCAGATTATCCACGAGGTACAGTAGGCACTATGCCTTAGGCCAACTAAATATGATGGGGTGCATATGAAAGTTTGGCTGCCTATGAAAAACTGGAGAGGCTATGAAAATACCACAAAGTGAACAAATGTTGATTACTTTTGCCACATCTTTCTTCAAATGTTTACATTTCTGGAAAGCCTCAAACTGGCTGCAGCACATAGCTTAGCATAACTTGACCATTAACATGACATGTAAGACTCTAGCGCAATCTAGCACAATGAAATTGGTGTCAGTGCGTAGGGGAATAGGGCCTGTAAAACTCTGGTGCTAGGTCTTACAGAATAATGGTGCTAGGGCCTACAGAAGACTGGTTTTAAGGCCAATGGAGCACTGGTGCTAGATCTAATGGAACATGGGTGTTAGGTCCTTCGGAACACTGGTGCTGGGTCCTTAAGAACATTGCTGCTAGGGCCTATGGAACACTGGTACACGTACTAGAGCCTATGAAGAGCATTGGTCCAAGGGCTTAAAGACCACAGGTACTAGGGACTGTGGAAAATTGGCACCTAGGCATCTGGAACTCTGTTGCCTAAGACTCACAAAACAGTTAATCCAGCCCTGGTTGCCTTCATACTCTCTGCAGAGCCATCTAACCAATCAATGTCATTTTCTTTTAAGACTGACTTACCGTGCTGACTGGCGGCAATGCGGATTCATATCTAAAATTTGAATACCAAAATTTATCAGACTAGTGAAGGGGGGGTTAAAAAAAAAAAACTCACCGCATCATCTTTGCCGTACTTCTCCATGGTTCTTTGTATCATCTCAGTGAATACGGTCACATTCCTTTGCTCCTGGTTATTCTGGGGGCGAATTTCTTGCAACATTGCCAACGACTGTCGACAGTAAGGAACGGGGGAAAAAAAGAACGAAATACCAGATCAGAAAGGCCGTTAACTCTGCCACTGAAGGATATTTGGTCAACAACACTGTTTGTCATTTCGTCACTGTTGCCATAAAGTGACAAATTTTGCCATGGGGCACTGTATTTAGTTAACATTTGAGGTAATTGCGATTTGAGTGGATCACTTTCTCAAACTGAGAATTTGCAGAGAAGAACTTCAAGAGTTGACAAATCAAATACACTGTATTAAAACATAATCCGAAAATGCCATAAAATGCTAGACACTACCCTGTTCAGTCCTTAACTTGAATGTAATTTAGTATTATTCTAATAGTCACCTCAAACTTATCTCTTCCAAAAAATGAGGAAGACACAATCAGCAGCACACGTCTTGTTGCTATTGTCGGTGCCAACTTGTTACATTTTTACATAATTGTCTTTCAGCCTCTGAAGAAGAACTTGCAAAGTTCGAAACGTCAGGACGAACTATTTTTGATGATTTTTTCAATATAATTAGAGAGTTAAATTTGTGTCTTCATGGTAAGCACCGTCAATATATCAATATTAGTTTGATATTGATATCGATTTGGTTATATTGATACATTGAAAATATTGGATTTTGGAGAAACACTGAAAACATCAAAATTTTAAAAACATCAATATTGAAAAATATATCGAAAATTTCGCTACTGAGGGACAAACTTTATTAAAAGATACGAAAGTGCATCATCACATTACCATAATTTTTGATAAGCCACGGCTTCTTACGTTGGTTCTCACGCGGAGTGAAAATGTCCCTGTAGCTTATACTCCAGGCGGCTTATACGGCGACATTTGAAGAATAAATTCAGTCACCTATCTCAGTCTCACACTCAATAATTCGCGTACACTTTGCCTCGAAAACATCACAAAATTTATCCTCCAAAACAGAGAATTATTTGCCAACCAAACGTACGTACGTGTAGACTAGCACCACGTGCTGATGATATCACTATGCACGGCAGTGTGTATCCCATCCTATGTAGGCAACGTGAGCAATACATGTCTCCAACGTGAATTGGGTCACACCCGTTACAGTGTAGGGGTGTACCCTTAGAACAATTTACCAGCAATTCACACCTGTTATAATACCTTGAAAATTAAAATGAATAGAATTTGATATATCCATAATATCGATAAAAAAAAAACATATTGGTATCGGCAAAAATAGGATATCGACGGTGCCTACTTCATGGAAACAAACTCAGGTGGGCTGAATTTTGCCCTTCTATTGCAAATGTAATCTCTAAAACCACAAACTTGCCCCTTTGTGGAAATGAAATATGAAGTTCAAACAACTTGAGCGAAACAAACTTCATCTGATTTGCCTGATTTCAATAGATTTGCTCAAAATGATTTCCTAACAGTGTCGGCATTAATTGTGGTAAAAATTGGGTAAAAATACAAATTGAAAACATTAATGACTCTGGTCCAACTTTATTTCTTTGTAAAAGTCAGTGACAATGTTGAGAGGAATTTCAAATTATTTTTGTCAGCTCAGGAACTTTCTTCGGGGGGATTACAGTAAAAGTAAACAGAATCGCTGATAATGTGGAATGATTACCTCAGCATAATTGATGTTACGCCCAACGTAGTACTTGATGCAATCCATCACCGTCTCGCAATCCTCCGGGTTCAAAAGGGCTTGTAGTTCTATTCCATCAAAATTGCTGGGACAAAAAAAAGACAGACAAATATGTCAAAACTTGGGCTTTAAATAATCCAAACAGCACTGCAAGTACAATGTCACAGTAAGAACATGACAGAGTCCACACAAATTGTTTCGTATAGTAAGTTTCAGGTGCACGTGTTTCTGGCTCTGGCCTATTCAACCTTGTGTGGTAGTTCACCTCAAGAATTTTCTGCATGAGAAAAAACTTCCAACATGAGGGAGTCGGGTTGGCGTAGTGGTTCTTTCCTCACCTTTTACCTCTGCAGCCCGGGTCCAATTCCCTAAATTTGTGGGTTTTACCCAGAATATTCCTCTGGGGTTTTCCTCCCTTCTCTAAAACTGTAACTGCTTCTCACTGTCTCCTTTCTACAGGTTTCTTCAGGCTTACGAGCTACAGTGCCTAGGACACTTTTGAGGAATCCCTGGTTTCATTACCAGAAAGACTAAATGACAATAATAATAACATAGACTGCAATGCAGCTGAAATGTTGTGCATTTTCGTCAATGCACGTTCCACTCCTTTCACATTTCACCTTTCGGGTAGTTCTCGACGGAAGACGAAATACAGGATTTTAAACAAAGTTTACGGACAGCACTGCATTGTTGAGGCACCAATAACAGAGAACTATGCCGAGGATAACCATGCATGGGAATAATATGTAAGAATATCACTTGTTTCACTGGAAACAAAACTTGCACTTGGGACTCTAAATAATAAAGTAACTATGTACAGATTTAAATGAGGTTTTAAGATCGGCAAAGCACATATTTATTTCCATTCACACCTTTTTGAGCCAGAAACTCAAAGTTAAAAAGTTATGAAGTTATGATGATTTTGTTCAACAATTATACTTCTTTTTTTAAACACCACTCTGAGTGTATTATGGTATGCACCTCTTGCCAGTAATTGTAAAAAAATCTCCTTATATGAAGAGTGGTTCATCCGTGGCATGTACTCAGGTGGCACAGAAGGAGATAAGCCAGTGGCAAGGGACATTGTATGTAACTGTCCATTCTCCTAAGCCGGTCTTAAATGAACGTCTAAGACCGACCCAAAAAAATTCATTCACATTCATACATACCTTGCAGGGCAGAATGACACAAGTTAAATAATGATGAATTTCCAATGATTTCGCTTAATAATTGTACCGTTTTTAAACACCCCTTAATGTTATGTTATGGTATTTTCCTCCTGCAGGCCAGTGTTTTATCAACCATGTCAACCACGTAAGACCAGCCATGTGAAAAGCTCCCAACCAAGAGGAACGGCTAAATAAAGTGCAAATAAAAACGGAAAAGCTTGACTGTTAATTGAGATTAGTCTGGATCGCCATGCAGAAATTGTAGAGGTGACTTCAACGGCTAACAACAGAGGGCTTGTTGAAGATTTACTTCTTTATCCAATTGCCTTGTCTATTAAAAAGTTTTTTGGCATGGGTTGGACCAAGTGAAATATAATCCAGTTCTATTTGGCATTTTTTTCACCATTTTTCTTCATGGCAGAGTTGGGTTTGTCTTGAAGAAACAAGGTCTAGACTGTACGAGAGAGTGTTCTGCAGAATATACAATTTGGCATAGGACAACTGCACTGTAGTCAACATGCTATTTTATCTCGTTGCACATGTTGACAATGTACGTACCATAGCGTCGGTGTCAGGCATTGAAAAACATTAACTCAAGCCCACAAATTACGCATAGACAGTCCCCTTTAACCAACATTATTTACCTGCCAATGTCTTGCCTAAGGTGCATCACATTAGCTGCCATCCGTTGGAACACAGCCCTGGGTTGGCAAGCCTGCAGGTAATCTGGTCGGTACCCATGCATGCCGATGTGCAAACTGCTCATCAGGACTTCAGCAGAGGTCATCATGCGACCTTTCTTGAAGGCGTCGATGAAAAGGTTGGTATCCGACTCTTTGAAACCACTGAAGAAAAATACACAAGATTTCCAAAATATCACAGCTGGTTACTAACGCTATCACAAATACACTGCCAAAATTGTATGCCTGGGAAGAATAACTCAACGGCCAATTTGTCATACTAAGGCAAGTTTTTGTGTTCTCAATTTGCAAATCTTAAACCCATCAAACATAATGACGTGAATACTCCATGAAATCCAATTCAAAAAAACATTTACCGAACAACTTACACCCAAAGTTCTCTTTGAGAAATTTTTTACATGGATTTAAAAGACAGACTGTTTAAATTTAGTAAAAATTTTAATAACGGGCAACCAAGTGTTTCGTACTCTGAGGAGTAATTCCAGCAGAGCACAAAATGACCGGGAAAGTTGACAGGTCGAAGCGTGATACCGAGTTTCCTGACCACGGCCTCATACAGAATGCACAGCGTGATGGGTATGGCCAGCTTCGTGGTCAGGACCTTCAAAACAAAACACATCAAGCACAACCATGAATCACACAGTATTTGTGAGGGCGAAATAACACCACCACTTGGAGGTACAAACAGACATAAATCTAAGGTCGTTAATGCAAGTCTACTGCTGATGTTACTCATAAGTGTTGCGATGCCAATTTTTTATTCTTAGCATAAAGTGACACTCTTATATCAACCAAAAGTACTGCTTTCATCATATCACACCGGGGCCTTACCAGTGACATGTAAGAGTTGCTTTCATTGTAGAAATCCTCACTGTTGCCTTGGAAATTCATCTCCTTGAACATGACCTCATTGACTGCATCAAAGACCTCATAGCACTGTTCTGGTGTCATCTCCACGGCCCCTGGAGCATTACACACACAAGAAAGTGACACAGACTTTAGCTCTTATCAGTTAATGTCCTAGTAATACAAATAGTGCCATATTTAGCCGGTGCCTGCTGGAAAGGTTGGTTCACAAGATCAAAAGATGGCAAGGTGTGCAAAAGGCATGGAGCATAAGAGAATTTCTTTAGAAGATATTAAGCACAAGAGGATTTTTTGACAATATTTCTTAACCCCTTCGCGCCGGGAAGCGGCTATAGCCGCCATCAAAATTGAGATCCTCAGCCCGCTTTTCAGCTATTATTCTCGGCCCATGTTCGAGCGAACATGGTGAAAGACCCTGAGTCTTGTGTACATGGTAATTGGTCTTTGTGTGTAGCCCAGAAATGAAAAGACCGATTTTGCATCATAATCACCACCTTCACAATAGTCCCCACTTCTTTAAAAAGAGGCAACGGGAATGTGGAAGCTTGAGTAGAACCGCAGGCCACTGAACAATCAGCCTTTTCACAGTGTAATTCAAAGCGTGCACAGCACGCTGGGCCACAAACTGAGAATTTGCAGTTTGGCAGGTGGCCATCGTGGCCAAGTGAGGCTGGAATTCTTGGAGGCGGCTTTCGGAAAGAAATTCCCGCCGAGAAGGGGTTAATTATTCATTTAGAAAGTACTTTCAAAAATTAAAAAAAAACGAACACATTTTTAAAAAAGTAAATGTAAACTTGATTCATTTCCTGGAAAAGAATAGACCTTCCATTCTAGTGGAAACATCCCTCTCTGCTCACTGCATGCAACAGCAAATTGGGGTATGCATAATTCACTTCAACTGGAGACAACAAAACAATATCTGCATGTTTTCCGGCTTTCGAACCCGCACTGAACCAACTCCAACCTTCAATTCTCATTTGGGTGGAACAATAACTTGCAAAACGCTCAACCACAAACATGTTTGTCGACAAGGCTGTGAAAACACACCCCTGGTATGGATACTTTTGTTTTGGACTAACTTGTTTCTATCCACTGGACTACCCATTAAATCGTTCCAAAATGCCTTCTACTTGCCAAAAGCAAATATGTGCAATGTATTTTTTGCCAACATCAATGAGAGGGTCCCAGAACCAATTTCTTCTCTTGACTGAGCACGGATCTTTCGGGCTACACTAACGGGATCTAGCTGGGACGGGTACCTCCAATGTTGCTATGGTAACTTGGGTGATCCATTTTCAGCTTCCTCCTGGCCCTCTCAGCAATTTGACTGACTTCCTGCCTGATGCTGTCCTTGGGAGACGGGCTGAAGAAATTGTGCCACCTCTCAAACAAAATGGCGCCTTGAGTCAACGGGGTAAACCATCAAAATATGTGTTTACAGTTTGAGTCATTTCACAGTGCTGCATGCCATTTCCAGAGCAAAAAAACAGTGCTCTGAGCATTGGGTGTTTTTCATCAACAGTCCAGGTTGAAACCCCAGCTTTCACTGATTACAGCAAGGAGTCAATCCTGCTTCATTGTAATCACACAATGTGCAATAACCACACCTAAACATTGCACTGTGTAATTGTACTGGGCTGTCGCCTTCTTACTTTTGACACTTTGCCTGAAAAAACCTGTAGCCTGCTTCTCAAGGACTAAAAGGGACCATGCAATACAATAATGCAGTTCAACCCTCAAAATTGCACCTTTGTTTCACTTACAGTACTTTGTAGCTAGTTTGGTGACACACCCCTCCCCACCATTAACTCAAGTGACCCCACAAGACCATGACAAAACCGAAGTCTGAATTTGAGCCACAAGCTACTCAAATGAACTGCAACAAAACACTTCCATGTCACTGTTCCCCCTGTTTAACTTACGACTGGTTTAGTGTTTAGTCTTGCGACTGATCTTGTGTGTTGTCAAGTGTCTGGTTTTTTGACTGGGCTTGTGACTGGTGACAGGTCATGACTGGTCCTGAATCTCGTCATGAGTCTAGTTTTCTGTCTGATCCTGTGTCGATTCTTGTGACTGCTTGTGTG